GATCTATAGAGAGATACAAAAGAAAGAAAAAATATCTTCGGATTGAAGAACGAAGACGACGATCCCCTTTTTCTTTTTTCGTCTGTAATATATCTTCTTCCTTTTCTTTTGTAACAACTTCTGATATTGGGCTGAACCCAAAACTTCCGAAGCCCATATCCAATTTCTCTTTCTCATTGATGATTTTGGGCCCAATTGTAACAAGTCCAATACCTAAATGAGATGTCGGATCATCCTTAACCACATCTAACTTAGTTCTTAATCCTGCACCAACACATTCTAATATCATTAGCGATGTTGTAAGCCAACAAGACTATTTTCCCTCTTTTGTTTTTGTTACTCCAACTCCCTGAGATTGATTAAACATGCACACCAACGTCATCTTTTTGTTTGAAGAACAAAACTCTAATATTAGGTACTTTAGAGTTTTTAAAACTATACCTTGAACGGAAAATAAGCTGAATTCATTCTGGATCAAATCCAACAGTCTTAACTCTATCATGTTTGCAAATTCTACCACACCAAAACCAAAAAGCTTTTAAGACGTTAAATTATTATCACCAAACATCTCATAAGTGCAGAAGTCTACAATAGTAATAGAAGAATTGCCATCGAGCCTGGTCAGATCTTTGATCAACGACCGATCAAAAGATGGAGTTAGCTTCTCCGGCAGAGACATTCTGTTTTCGAGTTGCTCATTTGATATAATCTTACCATCACGATTATCTATTAGTAATTATTATATGTATAAAATTATGAATTTTTGTTTATTTAAAAAAGGATAAATATGTTTATAAAAACGCAGCTTATTATTTTTTTTTTTAACTTTTTTTTAGCCTATTTTTAATATGTTTATAAAAAAGGACCAATGGGCTTTCGATAAAGTTAAAAGGTCTTTAACAGAAAAAAGGAAAGAAATTGAATTGAGAAAACAAATAATAATTTGGCGTACCTGATGACGACGATAGAATCGATGAGGGAAACACGGCGGGATCCTTCGGGCGTCCCTGGAGGAGCCGACGTCGCATCTGACGTCACTCAACACGTTAACAACGCATCTCTTATTCCTATGAGACAACAACCTCAGCCTACTTTCTACACCG